CCCCCCCCGGGGGGGGGGGGCCCCCCAGCTGTGGTGTGTATATACACAGGAGAGAGTTAATAAGAAAGAATTATAAAAAATAATTAATTTAATCTGAAATAAACTATATAATTTAGGCTGCAGCCGCTGCTGCTGCTGCAGCAACAGCTCAGCAACCGCAGCAGCAACCAGTCGAATGCAGGCACCGACAGCAGCAGCAAAAGCAGCAGCAGCAGCAATAGCAGCAGCAGGAAGCCCCCCTGCTGGGCGCTGCATGCACCATGGGGGCCCCCGGACCCTCTGACGAAGCAGCAGCAGCAGCAGCAGCAGCTGCTGCTGCTGCTGCTGCTGCTGCAGCTGCTGATCTCTGCCAAGAGGAGGATGCCCCTTTATATGAGGATGAAGGGGACGGCGCGGCTGCATCATCAACAGCAGCAACCGCAGCAGCAGCAGCAGCAGCAGCAGCAGGAGCAGCAGAAGCAGCAGCAGCAGCAGCAGCAGCAAATGCATTTATAGAGGCAGCAGCAAGCGGTAAGAGTTGTTCTGCTGATGAGCTGCTGCAGTGGCCGCCTCGTTCTTCTTTGTGGCGTGATCGTGGTGGGGAGGAGATAATACAAGCAGCAGCAGTGCAGCAGCAGCAGCAGCATTTGCTGCTGCATCAGCAGCAGATGCCGATGCTGCTGCAGCAGCAGCAGCAGCTGCTGCTGCCTCTTACTGAACCCTTCTTAGATAAATCCTTGGGGGGGGGCTTCCCTATAGGGATGCTGGGTGAGGTGTGTGGTGCTGCTGGCAGCGGCAAAACCCAGCTGCTGCTGTCGCTTGCTGCTGAGTGTGTGCTGCAGCAGCAGCTGCTGCAGCAGCAGCGCGCACGTCTCCTCCCCCATACAAACACCAGCAGCAGCAGCAGCAGCAGCAGCAGCAGGGGGGGGGTTGTTTATTATATTCATTCTGAGGGCGCGTTCCCTGCTGCTCGTTTGGGGGAGATAGTGCAGCAGCGTTTGCTGCGGCGCACAGCAGCAGCAGCAGCAACAGCAGCAACAGCAGCAGCAGCAGCAGCAGCAGCAGCAGCAGCAGCAGAGGTGCTGCAGCAAATATATATAGAAGAAATAAACTGCGAGGAGGAGTTTATATTTTGTCTCCTTTATAAACTGCCGCGGTTGGTGGTGTCTCGGGGTGGTGTACGTTTGCTGCTGATAGATTCAGTTGCTGCTGTGCTGCGGCCATCTGCTGCTGCTGCTGCTGCTGCTGCTGCTGATGCTGCTGCTGCTGCTGCTGCTGCAGCAGCAAACCGCAACAGCAAACTCATACGAATAGCAGCACTGCTGCGGAGAGTTGCTGCAGAGTACTGCTGCTGCTGCATCGTCGCCAATCATGTTACTGCTGTTATAGATCCTGCTCCACCTGCAGCAGCAGCAAGAGATAGCGGGGAGAGCAGCAGATGATGACGCCAAGAGAAGACGGATCGAAGACACACAGCAGCAGCAGCAGCAGCAGCAGCAGCAGCAGCAGCAGGTACACCATTCTATGCCTGTATGCGACGAACCAGCAGCAGCAACAGCAGCAGCAGCAGCAGCAGCAGTATCTGCAGCAGCACGTGCAGCAGCAGCAGCAGCAACACCCCCTGCTGATGTAAAAGCAGCACTAGGAGAGGTCTGGGGGGGCTGCCTCAACTACCGTCTCCTTCTCTCGCGTCTGTCTCCTTTCTGCAGCAGCACGGATGCACCTGCTGCTGCTGCTGCTGCTGCTGCTGCTGCTGGTGCTGCTGCTGCTGGTGCTGGTGCTGCTGCTGCTGCTGCTGGTGCTGCTGCTGGTGCTGGTGCTGGTGCTGCTGGTGATGAGGGGACGACAGCTTCTGCTGCACTCCAGCAGCAGCAGCAGCAGCAGCAGCAACAGCAGCAGCAGCAGCAGCAGCAGCAGCAGGTGTATGAACAGCTAGCACGCATGCGTTGTATGCATGTATTGTTTGCCCCCCATCTACCTTATGCTGCTATTCCTTTTGCTGTTACTGAGGCAGGTGTTGTTGATGCTTAGCTGCTGCTGCTGCTGCTGCTGCTGCAGTTGCTGCTGCTGCAGTTGCTGCTGATGATCTTGCAGTTGCTGCTCCTGCAGTTGCTGCTGCTGCAGTTGCTGCTGCTGCAGTTGCTGCTGCTGCTGCTGCTGCTGCTGCTGCCAAGCCAATTGCAGTTCTTTGCATGCGTTTGTTGGGGCTGTTGAAGAGAGGCAGCAGCAGCAGCAGCAGCAACAGCAGCAGCAGCAACAGCAGCAACAGCAACGGCAACAGCAGCAGCAGCAGCAGCAGCAGCAGCAGCTGCAGCAGCAGATATATATATTATTGATGGAGACAGATAGAGATACACTCTCTTCTATCTGCTGCAGCCTATCCCTCTCACTGCAGCAGCAAGGGGGGCCCCCAGGGGCCCCCGGGGGCCCCCGGGGGCCCCCCCTTTGTCTTTGTTGATAGAAGGGGGCCCCCCTTCTCTTCTTTAAGAAGCAGATACTTCATTTGCACGCATGCATAAGTGGTATTGCTGCTGCTGCTGTTGTTGCTGTTGCTGCTGCTGCTGCTGCTGCTGCTGTTAGTACTGTGGTTGCTGCTGCTGTGTTGTTGCTGCAGCTGTTACTGCTGTTGTTGCTGCTGCAGCTCCTGTTGCTGCTGTTGCTGCTGTTAATTCTGATGCTGCTGTTGCTGCTGCTACTGCTGCTGTTGCTGCTGCTACTGCTGCTGTTGCTGCTGCTGCAGGGGGCCCCCTAAAACAGGGTACTGCTGCTCTGCTGCATAGGGGGGCCCCCAGGCAGCAAGGCAGGGGCCCTGGGGGCGCCCACGTCAGTATATTTAAGCAGCATCTGCTGCTGCAGCAACAGCTGCTGCTGCTGCTGCTGCTGATGGAAATGCTGCTGCTGCTGATGGTGGCGGTGCTGCTGCTGATGTAGCTGGTGCTGCTGCTGCTGCTGCTGCTGCAGTTGTTGGAGCTGTTGCAGCTGCTGTTGACGCTGCTGCAGCTGTTGCTGCTGCTGCTGCTGCTGGTGCTGCTGCAGTAGCCGCTGTTGATGCTGCTGCAGTTGCTGCAGCTGCTGCTGTTGCTGCAGTCGCTGTTGCTGCTGCAGCCTCTGCTGCTGCAGCAGCTTCTGCTGCTGCTGCAGTTGCTGTTGCTGCAGCAGCAGCAGCAACTGCTGCTGCTGCTGCTGCTGCTGCTGCTGATTTGTTGGGCTTTGGTCTCTGCTGCCGATACTCTTCAAGTCGTTGTCTGCTGCTGCTGCAGCACAAAAAGACGCAGCAGCAACAGCAGCAGCAGCAGCAGCAGCAGCAGCAGCAGCAATAACAACAATATCAAGAGCAGCAGCAGCAACAGAAGGAGCAGCAGCAGCAACAGCAGCAACAGCAGAAACGGCAGCAACTGCAACAGGACCAGCAGCAGCGGCAACAGTAACAACAACAACAGCAGCAGCAGCAGCAGCAGCAACTGCAGCAGCAGCAGCAGCAACTGCAGCAGCAGCAGCAGCAACTGCAGCAGCAGCAGCAGCAACTGCAGCAGCAGCAGCAGCAGCAGCAGGAGAAGCAGAAGTATGAAGCCCCCTCAATTGGGAGGAGACAGAAAAGAGACAAAAAGAGAGACAGAAAAGGAGGCAAAAAAAACAGAAAAAGAGAGACAAAAGGAGACAAAAATAAACAAAGAAATATAAATAAATAAATAAATAAATAAATAAAATAAAATAAATAAATAAATAAATAAATAAAAACAATAGGCTCACTGTCTCCTTCTTGCTGCTGTATAAACAAACGAGGAGACAAACAAAAATAATTAAGGGGGGCCCCCCCCCTATCTCCTGGGGGCCCCCAGGGGGGGGCCCCCCCAATATGTGTTGCTGCTGCTGCGGTGTTTGCTGCTGCTGCTGCTGCTGCTGCAGTTGCTGCAGTTGCAGCTGTTCGTGGCGCTGCTGCTGCTGCTGCTGCTGCCGCTCCTCCTCCTCGTTCTCCTCTTTCTCCTGCTGCTGCTGCTGCTGCTGTTGCTGCTGTTGCTGCTGCTGCTGCTGCAGGGTTTTGTGGCAGTGTAGTGCAGCAGCAGCAGCAGCAGCAGCTCGAGGTGTATGTACACCTCAGGGATTTTTCTGCTGCTGCTGAGCTGCCTATACACCCCAAATTAATGGGGACGCTGCGGGGGGCACTTGAAAAAGGAAACACAACTGATGCATGCTGCTGCTGCTGCTGCTGCTGCTGCTGCAGCATCTGATGTTGCTGCTGTTGCTGCATCTGCTGCTGCTGTTGCTGCTGCTGCTGCATCTGATGTTGCTGTTGCTGCTGCATCTGCTGCTGCATCTGCTGCTGCTGTTGCTGCATCTGTTGTTGCTGCATTTGCTGCTGCTGCATCTGCTGCTGCTGCTGTTGCTGCTGATGCTGTTGCTGCTGCTTCTGCTGTATCTGCTTCTGCAGCTGCAACTGCATCTGCATCTGCTGCTGTATCTGTATCTGCTGCTGCAGCTGTTGCTGCTGGCGTTGCTGCTGCTGCTGTAGCTGCTGCTGGCGTTGCTGCTGCTGCTGCAGCTGCTGCTGTTGGCGCTGCAGCTGCTGTTTGTGTTGCTGCAGCTGCTGCAGCTGCAGCAGCAGCTGCTGCTGCTCTCTGTCTTCGGTGTCTGTATGCATGCATATATCAGCATGAGCAGCAGCAGCAGCAGCAGCAGCAGCAGCAGCAGCAGCAGGGGCCCCTTTTGTTGTTTTTATTATTGTTTTGCTTTCTTTTTCTTTTGGGGGGGGAGAGACAGAGGAGTGCAGCAGATAGAAGGGGGCCCCCCTCATTTGTCTATTTTCTTTTTCTTTTTCTTTTTCTTCTTTTCCTTCTGTTGCTGCTTTTGCTGCTGCTGTCTCCTCTCCCTCAGGGGGGCCCCCCCCCCACTCATCATCACCAGGGGGCCCCCCTGGGGGGCCCCCCGAAGCATTATAAATAAATTTTATATCATCATGGGGGCCCCCACCCTGCTGCTCACTAGGGGGCCCCCCATGGGGGCCCCCGGGGGGCCCCCTGAACTGCTCGCCCGGGGGGGGCCCCCAAGGGCGGGGGGCCCCCAGGGGGGTTGGGGGGCCCCCTAGGAGAGGAGAGGCGGAGGGGTCTGATGCAGCACGTCTTAGAGGTAATTTGCATGCGCTGCTTGCTGCTGCTGCTGCTGCTGCTGCTGCTGCTGCTGCTGCTGCTGCTGCTGCTGGCGGTGGTGGCGGTGGTGGTGTTGCTGCTGCTGCTGCTGTTGGTGCTACTGCTATTGGCGCTGTTGCTGCTGTTGTTGCTGCTGCTGCTACTTCTCCTTCTGCTGCTGCTGCTAGTGTTGCTGCTGCTACTACTGGCGGTGCAGTTGCTGCAGTTGAAGGCAGCAGCTGACTAACCAAAGAGGGGGGCCCCTCAAAGCCTTGGGGGGCCCCCAGGGGCCCCCCCGTCGGGGGGCCCCCCATGGGGGGGCCCCCCAGGGTTTCACTCTGGGGGCCTCCCCCCATCGTTTCTCTCAGGGGGGGCCCCCCCAGGGTACCCTCCAGAGGGGGCCCCCATGGGGGGCCCCCCGATGGCCCCCCGAG